TAATCCTTCTTTATGGTTTTGTTTTCCATTGTTTAAATTACCTGCAATTACCTTGGTCCAAAAATATTAAACAAAAATTTCAGAAATGGACAATTTATAAGTTTTAAATGCTTTTTTATTTTTTGATGGTGTTGGGATAGATCCCAAGGCCTCATGTATACTGAGCACACAATGTATCACTGAGCTACACTTTCAGGTTCATTTGTACTATTTTATTAGTTTTCACTGTTAATCTCTTACTGTGCCTAATTTTTTGTTAAACTTCATCATAAGCATGTATGCATAAGAAAAAAACATAGTATGCATAGAATGTTTACTATCAACAGTTTTAGGCATTCTTGGAATATCCTGGAATGTATCCCCTGTGGATAAGGAGGAACTACTGTATGTACTTTCTAGGAAAACTCCCCTCCCTTCATACAGGAAACCCCCAACCTGTCACAGAGATCATCTATTCAGGTGATAGAATGCTAGATGGCGTAAAATTTTCTCAGAATACAGGGTGTTAGAACTGAGCATGCCTTTCTAGGCACTCAGTCCAACTGGAGCCTAGAGAGGAGTAGTGTCTTAGTCTGTTTGGGCTGCTGTGACAAAATACCATCAGCTGGATGGCTTAAGCAACAGAAATTTATTTCTTAAAGTTCTGGAGGCTAGAAGTCTGAGATCAGAGTGTGAACATGATCGTGTTCTAGATAGGGCCCTGTTCCAGTTGCAGATGACTGACTTCTTATTGTATCCTCATATGGTGGAATGCAGAGAGAGCTTTTAAAAGGGCACTAATGCCATTCACGAAGGCTCTGCTCTCATGTACTACTCACCCTCCAAAAGTTTTACCTCCTGACACAATCATATTAAGTGTTAGGTTTCAATATAAGAATTTTAGGAAGATACAAACATTCAGTCCACAAGAGGCAGAGCTGACTCTCAGAGATTTCTTGGACTCAGGATTCCAAATGTGGTCATGTGCCTGAGTGTTCTGCAAACACTCCTGGGAGTCAGGGCTCCTTAGCATCTTGCCTACACGCTGTGGTTCTTAGAAGATGGGACCTGGCCCATTGGGCAGTTGGGGGACATAGACAGAAAACTGTTTTAAATAGTGTCAAGAATGATGGAAGTGCGAGGATGCTGTCTCAGTCTGTTTCCTGTAGACTGGGAAATTTATAATGACCAGAAATTTATTGGCTCACTCATCGGTAGACTGGGAAGACCAAGAACAAGGTGTGGGCATCTGGCAGGGACTTTCTTGCTGCATCTTGCTTGCTCACACAGTGAAAGGCATCACATTGTGACAGGGAAAAGAGAAAAAAAATTAAAAAAAATATATATATATATATGAAAAAGAGAGAAAGAGAGGGCAAGAAGGATGAACCTACTTCTTCTGAGAATAATGGTGTCACTCATCCATGAAGTCAGTCAGGCCTAATCACTTCTTGAAGTCCCACCTATTCATACTGTCGCATGGCAATTAAATTTCAATGTAAGTTTTGGAGGGGACATTTAAACCTTACCATTCCATCTTTGGCTCCCCCAAACTCATGTCCTTCATACATAAAAATAAACATTATTTGCATCCTTCTAGCTCCAAAAGTCTCTACTCATTCCAAAAGTAACCTAGAAGTCTGATGTCTCATCTAAATCAGAAATGGATGAGACCCAAGTGTGATTATCCTGAGGCAAATCCCCCTCCTGCTGAGAGTTTATGAAATCAAACAAGTTACATGCTTCCAAATACAGTGTGAGATAGGCATGAGGTAGACATTCCCATTCCAAAAGGGAGAAATGGGAAGAAAGGAGTAACCGGTCCCAAGGAAGTCCAAAACCCAACCAGTCCTGTCCCACATCCTGAACACCCTGCATGCAACAGGGGTTGGGTCCCCGAGGCCTCGAGTAACCTAGCACCTGTGACTTTGCTGGGCTTATCCCAAGCAAGTTTGAGGTTCTGCCTACAGGTCTACAAGATTGGTGTTGCACACTGGGGGCCCTTCAGTCCTGGGGTCTCCATGGTGTCCCATTCCTACAGTTCCGCTAGGCATTGCTCTAGTGAGTACCTGTGTAGTGGTTGTGCCCCTGCAACTGGTCTCTGGGCCCCCAGACTGTAACATCGTTGAAACCTAGGTGCCAGAGCTGTCTCCATAGCTACCGAATTCTGCAATCCTGCAGAGTTAGCAACACATGCTGACTCACCACGTGCATCTGCCTCCAAGTGTTGGTCTGAGCTGTACCTGGGGCCACATGAGCCACAGCTGGAACAGCCAAGGGGCACTGAACCAGAATGTGGGGAGCAGAATCCCAAGGTGGATGGAGGGGGCTACACTCTGTTCCCCCCAACTACTCTTCCCACAAGGACCTGTATCTCTGAGACTGAAACAGGAGTGGAAGCCTCAAAGATGTATAAAATGTCTTTGGGGACTTTCTCACGTTGTCTTGATGGGTAGCATTTGGCTTCCTTCTATCCATACTGATCTCCTTAGCCACAGCTGTGGCTACACCTTTTGTTTCTCTTCTAGACAGGGTGTTTTGTTCTTTACATGGCCAGGCTAGGGATTTTCCATATTTTTACAGTCTCCTTCCCTTTTTAAAAATATTTTAAAGTTGTCGATGGACCTTTATTTTATTTATTTGTATGTGGTGTCGATATTTGAACCTAGTGCCTCATGCATGCCAGGCAAGCTCATTACCACTGAGCCACAACCCCAGCCCTCCTTCCCTTTTAATTATAAATTCCATCTCTACATAATTTCTCTCTTCTTCCATTTCAAGCCATATGTTCCTCAAGGGCTTTTCTGCTTAGATATCTTTTTACTATTGACAAAGATTCTGCCCATTACTCACATTCACCTCAAGGTTCCTGCTATCTGTTAAGCTCAGGAATTGAAGAAATGCCAGAAAAGTTTCAGTAAAGGATTGGTCCAGGTCCCAGTGGTAAAACTGAGGGAAAACTTGAGTAAACCCTCAGGCTTGCTTTTAGTTGCTTGCTTTTATCAATAGTTCTATGTGAGGCACGTAGCTCAGTGGTAGAGTACTTGCCTAGCATGTGTAGAGGCCCAGCACCACAACAAAAGAAAAACTATATCACAATTTTAGAGGTCATGTAGCTAACTACATATAACACCTCTGACATATTGGTCATGAGGTAGTGGTTGCCTAAATTGTTTTTTTGTGAACTTGGAGCTACTTCAAGCTAGGTGAAACCAATCCCTTTCATTTGGGCTTGCACAAATGTTTGATGATGACCTTCTCATGCCAGAGGGCCAAAAGCTGCATCTTCAGAGCATGCTAATGCTTCCATTTTCTGAACATGCATCCTATGAAGAACCCTAAAATTTGATTATGCACGTGCAAACTATAACAGCAAAGTGGCTGCCTTCAAGTGACACTCCCTTTCCTGGGAAACAAAGGAAAACTTCGCTTTTCCTCACTTCCAATTACCTTGCCCAAGTCTCAAACTTCCCTGCTTCTTTATCCCCTAAGTATCCCTAGACCCAACACTTGGGGAGGTGGATTTGAGACTTGAGGTTCCTATGTCATATTTGGCTGCCTTGTGAACAAATTATGTCTCTTTTGCAAACCCATTGCTTCAGTGATGACATACTGTGTGGCAGGCAAAATGAGCTTCATTGGACTACAACGCCAACACCTAGGGCTTGAGTCTGGTCATGATCATAAGACAACAGAGTTAAACTCTTCTGTCCATGCCATTGGCTTCTCTGTTTTTGTTCATTAAAAACATTTGATTGGGCTGGGGTTGTGGCTCAGCGGTAGAGCGCTCACCTTGCAAGCGCGAGACCCTGGGTTCGATCCTCAGCATCACATAAAAATAAATGAATAAAATAAAGGTATTGTGTCCAACTACAACTAAAATACAAGTTAAAAAAAAACATTTGATAGCCAGGCACAGTGATGCATGCCTGTAATCCCAGCAGCTCAGGAGGCAGGAGGATGGCAAGTTCAAAGCTGGCCTCAGCAACTCAGCAAGACCCTGTCTCTAAATAAAAATAAAAAGGGACTGGGGATGTGGCTCAGTGGTTAATCACCCCTGGGTCAAATCACTGGTACCCATCCCCCCAATTTTTTAATAATATTGAGTAATAGCAAAATTGATGAGCAAATGTTTCATTTGATAAATTGGGGGGGTAAGAGTGCAATTGACATGAACATTATTGATGGATATTATACATAGACAACCCCTGGGACCTTGCCATTGTGATTCTCAATTTTTTGCCTATAGGAAAACTCCCGCTGTTACAAGAATCCTAGCTGGGAGGGGGCTTGACTTCAGTGAGTCCTGACAAACCAGGCCTGGTCACTTGTCCCAAAGAAATCAAACATAAATGTAATTGTGAAAGTCAAGAAAAGGAATTTACTTAATGTAGATATACTGGGAAGACAAGGAGGACATGGGAGGGTCAAACATCCTCAACCCAATCTTCAGGGGTACTGACCTTAGTTTCAGATTTAAATAAAGGAATAACTGGGACAGGGGGCAAGAAGTCTTGATCAAACTGGTCTGGTTGATCATTTTCTCAGGTGGGGGTTCTAGAAGCCTTCAGGGAAGTCTTATCCCTTGAGGGGGAAATTCAGTTCCTATGAGATAGATGATCATACCTGCTTGGGGGCAGTCTTAGTTCCTGTCACAGGATAACTGTTTGGACTTAGTGGGACAGTCACTTCCTGGAGTGATCTGCCTGTAAGACTTTCTGCTCCTGGATAGTTTAAGGACATTGACTAGATACTTCTAGGCTCTGCTCTGGGGGGTCTTGAATAGGACATTGTAGAAGGTGTCAATTCACAATCTGTTGATTGTGTCAAAATACCTTGGCATCTTCAGCCTTGAAAGAGGGGGAAGCTCATCAGCTTCAGATGAACATTCCTTAAATGATTAACCTACCTCTGGGCAGAGTTAAGTAGGAATCTGACCCAAAGTTTAAGGTAATAAAGAAGACAAATACAAAATGAAGGCAGAGGCAAAGCTTTTAATTCCACTTTTACTTTCCCATCAGATATCTTCAGGCCTGAATAATGAGTCAGTGTTATAAGCAAAAGGAGCCTCTAAGTCCCTGTCTTGCCACGTGTACATAAGGAAGAAAAACAAGGATGAGCCTGGCAGCATTGTTTTTAAGATTGTCTCTGTGGATGCCTTCTGAGTGTCTACACATGGAGTAAGGAAAATGAAAAACCATGTGTCCACATCTTGGAACATTATGAAGTAAGGAAAAGAATGAGCCAGCCACATGCCTGGTCATGGGAATATACTAAGACACATTAGAGTGGAAAACTGGTAGGCCACAGGATACCATGTGTGGTGTGATGCTATTTATATAAAAATAAAAGGCAATTTCCAATTATATTTTCATTTAAATATGGAAATGAGGAGGGAAAGACCTGCAAGGCCATGCACCAATCTGATGGTGGCAGGTGAGAAATATTGGGTGAGAAGAGCCAACAGTATCACTGGAAAATGTCGATAATATGATGTTACATAGGGAAAAGCAGACATAGAGAAAATTGCGCCAAACATCTGACCTTACACATGGGAGACTGTGTATTGAGGGTGCTTTGTGACCAGGGTGTTTGCCCTGAGGTTCCAAATCTGCAAGTCTGGGTGGACTTGGCCATGCCAGATGGAAGTGTATCCCTACCCAGTAATTCTGACACACCCAGGTTCTTGGGATTGTAATGCTTTCTTGCTACCAGCTAGCATCACTTTTATAATCACAGAAAAAATTCTTTTAAAAATAGAAGGCAAAAGACAGGTATGGTGGCACATGCCTGTAATCCCAGTGACTTGGGAATCTGAGGCAGGATTCCAAGTTCGAGGCCAGTCTGGTCAACTTAGTGAGACTGTCTCAAAACAAAAAGAATTGGAGGGCTGGGGATGTGGCTTAAGCGGTAACACGCTTGCCTAGCATGTGCGAGGCGCTGGGTTCAATCCTCAGCACCACATAAAAATAAAATAAAGATGTGTCCACCGAAAAGTGAAAAATAAATATTTAAAAAATTCTCTTTCTCTCTCTTCTCTCTTTCTCTCTTTAAAAAAAAAAAAAGAAAGAAAGAAAAAAAAGAACTGGAGCTTTAGCTCCGTGGTAAAGTGTCCCTGGGTTCAATCCCTAGTACAAAAAGAAGGAGGAGGAGGAGGGGGGGAGGGGTAGGAGGAATAGGAGGAGAATGTCATCAGAAAAATATTTGTTTCTTCTTCAGTGGTACTGCCAGAAAAATACTTGTTTCTTTCTCAACTGGGCTGTCTCTCTTCCTCTAGTCTCAGCCATGAGTGCTATGGCATGATGGCTGGGAAGGGGGGCCAGGGAGTGGCCAGGATCCTTCCAGGGCATGCCCCCAATGACCTAAATTCTTCTCACTATTCCTTACCTAAAATTTCCACAACCTTCTAGTACCACCACAGGCTGGTGACCAACTCTTCAACACATAGGCCTTTAGAGGACTCTCCAGATCCAAACTATAGTTGGAGTACTGCCCTAAGGGGCTAAGTTTGTGGCAATTTCTTATGCAGCAGTGGATAACTAATACACATTCTTAATTGAATGACCACAAATACAATTCAATTTTGTTTTGCTTGATCTCCATTGGTGTGTGCAGTGAATCGGCAGGGGGATCCCCTTCTTGCTGGAAGGAATGGGGTCTCTAGCTCCCCGTTCTCCCTGCCTAGAACCTACTTTGCATTCTAGCCCTCCTTATCCTATACTTCGTTGTCACATATCATGGGCTAGAGAAAGAGGAAAAATTAACCATAAGAGGAACAATTTTATCCACGTTTCAACTCAAAATCTAAATGAATAAAAATAGACATCCCATTAAGTGACTTTGTCTTTAAAGAGGAAGGCTGGGGGTGGGAACAGGGTTGATTTTAGACTACAGACATGCCAGGAACTCCAGGATGTTCCCACGATACAGACTGCATTTGTTAAAAATACCTTCAATACCAAAAATTACAAAGCGTGTAACTAATCCTGTTCCTTAGAGCCAAGAAAAACACACCCAAGTCAAACACAATGTATGGCTGAAAGAGAGGGATTTCCACTAAGAAGAGAAACGTGCAACCATCCTTACATGCCAGACTGGCACCTGATGTCATGGGTGCTGTCCCTGCACCCAGACAGGCAGGCCCAGCTCCTCCTATGGAAAATAAGCTCCGTTGCCTCCAGGGGCTTCTTGGAAGCCCCCGCGATTCTCCATCCTCTGAGCTTCAGGACAAACGGTTTCTCTTCTTAGCAGGACCCTTGCCCAGACAGGGATCATTCAATCCCCAGGAACTCCCAGGGCACCAGGATGGGAATACTCAAAAAAGAAGGCAAATCATTCATCTGCAGCAGGTGTTCAGCCAACATCAGGAGAGAGGTTAGGTGATCACAGAGTAAAAGGAAGCAAAGTGTTCCAGGTGGTGAAAACATCTGCCCATCAGATGTGGTAAAGTAGAAACTCTCATTTAACCTCCTAAGACACCGAGAGGGGGCTGTAAGCACATCTCTCAGACAGAAATGTCAAGGCTCAGGGAATTCTATGGGTTGTCCAAGAAGCCCCAGAGACCAGTGGGTTAAGTGAACATGATCTAGGTCACCATCCTAAGTGCACCTGGTTGGGCCCAGCATTCCTGTTTCCTTTACCAGTTTCCCTCCTGCTTCCCATGGCATGACTTCCTGATGTTTCAGTGGGAGGGTCTGTGCCCTTGTGGGATCCTGCTCCTCTGCTCCTCCACTCCCTTGCTCCCTGCCTAGCTAAGCCTGAGGACACTTCTTTGAAAGCAACTTTTGGAAGAGAACTTATGCCTAGTACTTCCTATTGCTGGTCAACCCCCAACTTCAAGGCCAGATTTCTTTTTTTTTTTTTTATTGGTTGTTCAAAACATTACAAAGCTCATGACATATCATCTTTCATACATTTGATTCAAGTGAGTTATGAACTCCCATTTTTACCCCAAATACAAATTGCAGAATCACATCAGTTACACATTTACATTTTAACATAATGCCATATTAGTGCCAGATTTCTTGCTGTTCTGGAGAGAAGGGTGTGCCAATGCCAGAGAGATTCTCACAGGGACAAGCAGGAATAGCCTGCATGTCAACATTCCCAGAGGTTCCCTACAGAGTGAGGGCAGGGCTGTGACCTCCTGGACCTGCTGTGTGGCCAGGGTGATGCTTACCCCTCCCCCATCTCAGCCAGCTAGCCTCTCTCCCAGCCCCTAGCTTAGCAAACCGGCCTGTTCCTCTGTGTCTGGGACCCACTCACAGCCTTCCAGCCTCTCTGAGTCTCACATTTACTTTTTCTTAAAAAAAAATGCTTTAATAAACTTTATTTTTCAGAGAAGTTTTAGGTTCATAGCAAAATTGAGCAAAACTGACACTTCCTATATGCTCCAAATGTATGTATGCGCAGCTTCTCCCATTAATAACATCCCTCAAGAGTGTGTTACATTGTTACAATGGATGAACCCCTATAGACACATCCTCATCACCCACAGTCCATAGTTTACATGAGTTCACTCTTGGTGTTGCACATTCTAATGAGTTTGTATAAATATATAATGACATATATATATCCACCATTATAGCATGCAGGGTACTGAACTTGTACTACCACTGAGCTTCATGTCTAGCCCTTTTTTATTTTTTATTTTGAAATAGGGTCTTACTAAATTGCCCAGGCTCTCCTTAAACTTGCAAGCATCCTGAGTAGCTGGGATTACAGGGATGTGCCACTATGGCCAGCTATATTAGCCACATAAGTACCAAAGAACAAGAGTAGTAGTTTACATACTGAAAAGTTTTACTGTCTCAAAAATCCCTGGTGCTTCATCTATTTATCCTTTCCTTCGCCTTCCCCCTAACAACCACTGATCTTTTTACTCCCTAATTTTGTCTTTTCCAGAATGTCATGCAGTTGACATCTGAACAGTGTATGTTATTTTCATATTAACTTCTTTTTTTTGAGAACTATTCTTTTATATTTCCTTCACACCTTTTCATGGCTTTGACAGTTCACTTCTTCTTGGTGCTGAAAATATTCCATTGTCTAAGTATACCAGGATTTATTTATTCATTCATCTACTTAAGGATATCTTGGTCACTTCCAAGTTTTGGCAGCTGCCATAAATATCCACGTGTAGATTTTCATGTGGACATAAATAAATTAAGTTTTCAACTCCCTTTGGTAAATACCAAGGAGCAAGATTACTAGATGAGATGATAAAAATACCATTAGCTTAAAAAAAAAAAAAAGGTCTTTGAAAGTGGCGGTGCCATTTTTACATCTACCAACAATGAATAAGAGTTCTTGTTGTTTCATATATATTTACATTTTAAAACAACATTTATTATAATTTTAGTATAAAATCTCTTTTTATAGAAAATCTGAAAACGAAAAGGAAGACATAAAGAACAAAAGGAAAATCACTTATGATCCCGATTCCTTCATTTATTCATTGAAAAAAGAATCATGTGGGATATGCTCCACAGGCCAGGCTGCAGAGACCAGCACAGTCAAATCCTGTCCCTGAGCGACCTGTCTTCAAGTTCAGGAGACCGGCAGACCTTCATAAGCAAATAAGTCATTGCTACAACCCCTGGTGGAGCGTGGAATGTGGACCTGTGCCAAGAGAGAAGGGAAGGAGGGCGGAGTCTCTGGTAAGGCGGGAAAGGGGACGAGCAAGGGGCAGGGTCAAAGCCTAGTTATGCTAAGAAAAATGTATTTTACACAATTGCATGGTTATCGAATGCCTGTGCTACTCCTGGTTTGTACTGACCGGATACAACCACCTCATAGCGTAGTAAACTTCTACCTCGGCTTCCTCCATGCTCACTCCTTTCTCAATGAGTTAGTACTGGGGTCCACCACTACAGGACAAAGGAGACAACCACCGATCTGAGCACAGGCCTGCACTTCCAGAGTATCAATCAAACCAGGACCCCCGAAACTTGGACCTGGAGAATTTCTGAGAAACTTTGACTTGGAGAAAAAAGGGAGGATGGAGTAAGAATAGAGCAGAAAAAGAGGAAATAGAGAAAGGGAGAGGAGGAGGGTGAGGGCCCCCAGTCAAGGGAGAGGGCCCCCAAGCCAAACCCCTAGAAATCCCAGCTGCCTTGGGTCCAGAGGGTCCTAATTCTACCCATACTGTACATCCTGAAAGCCCACCTTATGGCCACAGGCTTCCTGCTGTGCTGCAATGTGACTAAACTGTGGCAGAGCAATCTATGTGATTTAGCCAGTTTCTTTCTGATAGGTGCAGGGAGGTTTCCAATAGCTGGCTATGATAGATGATCAGTGAATGTCCTCATCCACAACTCTATGACCTGCAAGGTGGGTGCACCTGCTAGACAAAAAATGTGCACATTTTTTGATAGGTCTTTATTTTTGTATTTATCTAAATAATCTACATTTTTCTAAGTTCCAGATATCCTTTATTTCTGTTTAGAGAACAAGATTCTTTAGAAGTGAGTCAAAGTGGAGAAAACATCTTTGAGTGTGCATTTCCAAACACCATTTTTTATGGAATTTTCACACACACACACACACACACACACACACAGAGCCATCCTTCTAGGATCCCCCATTGAGACCAAACCCAAAGAAGCTCAATCCCCTTATATACAATAGTATTTGCATATAACCCACATTCTGCTGTGTACTTTAAATCACTCTAGATTACTTATAATACCCAATGCAAAGTTGGTGCTATGCAAATAGTTATACTGTATTTAGGGAACAATGAAAAGAAAAAGTAGGTCTAAACATGTTTATTACAGATGTGATTATTTTCATATGTGATTTTTAAAAAATGTTTATTTTTTAGTTGTAGTTGGACACAATACCTTTATTTTATTTATTTATTGTTATGTGGTGCTAAGGATCGAACCCAGGGCCTCGAACATGCTAGGCGAGCATTCTACTGCTGGGCCACAACCCCAGCCGTCGTATGTGATTTTTAAAAAAATATTTTCTATCTATAGTTGGTTGAGTCTATGGCTATCGAACCTACAGGGCTGACTGTATGTATGAATGGGAGAGAAAATCTGAAATGGAAACCCCAAAACCATACACATCAGCTAGATTTAAAATTATTAAATTTGGTTATACCCACTTCATATCTCTTTTTTTTTTCTTTGCCTGAATTATTTTCTAGCATGGCTCAGATACATTTTATCTCAAAATATTTTGGGATATATGAAAAGAGAAGAATTTTAAAATATTATCACAAAACTGGCATCACACCTGACAAAACACTGAAACATGAATCCTGTCTATCATCTAACATCATCAGCCCTCACAGCATCTTCCTGATAGCTCCCCAGACAACTCTTCCATAGGTTGTGACCATTTTTTTTTAGTTTTATTGATTTTATTTTTTTAAATACCGACAGCAGAATGCATTACAATTCTTATTACACATATAGAGTTCAACTTTCCATATCTTTGTATATAGAGTATGTTTACACCAATCCATGCCTTTTTACATGTACTTTGTTTTTTTTTTTTTGTTTTTTTTTTTAAATTTTTTATTGTGGGTTGTTCAAAACATTACAAATTTCTTGACATATCATATTCCACACTTTGATTCAAGTGGGTTATGAACTCCCACCTTCACCCCATACACAGATTGCAGATTCACATCAGTTACACATCCATTGATTTACAAATTGCCATACTAGTGTCTGTTGTGCTCCGCTGCCTTTCCCATCCTCCACCCTCCCCCCTCCCCACCTCTCCCCTCCCCTCCCCTCCTCTCTCTCTACCCCCTCCACTGTATAACCCTGAGGGTCTCCTTCCATTACCATGCAATTTCCCTTCTCTCTCCCTTTCCCTCCCACCTCTCATCCCTGTTAAATGTTAATCTTCTTCTCCTGCTCTTCGTCCCTACTCTGTTCTTAGTTACTTTCCTTATATCAAAGAAGACATTTGGCATTTGTTTTTTAGGGATTGGCTAGCTTCACTTAGCATAATCTGCTCTAATGCCATCCATTTCCCTGTAAATTCTATGATTTTGTCATTTTTTAATGCAGAGTAATACTCCATTGTGTATAAATGCCACATTTTTTTTATCCATTCATCTATTGAAGGGCATCTAGGTTGGTTCCACAGTCTTGCTATTGTGAACTGTGCTGCTATGAACATCGATGTAGCAGTGTCCCTGTAGCATGCTCTTTTTAGGTCTTTAGGGAATAGACCAAGAAGGGGAATAGCTGGGTCAAATGGTGGCTCCATTCCCAGCTTTCCAAGAAATCTCCATACTGCTTTCCAAATTGGCTGCACCAATCTGCAGTCCCACCAGCAATGTACAAGTGTACCCTTTTCCCCACATTCTCGCCAGCACTTGTTGTTGTTTGACTTCCTAATGGCTGCCAATCTTACTGGAGTGAGATGGTATCTTAGGGTGGTTTTGATTTGCATTTCTCTGACAGCTAGAGATGTTGAGCATTTTTTCATGTACTTGTTGATTGACTGTATGTCCTCCTCTGAGAAGTGTCTGTTCAGGTCCTTGGCCCATTTGTTGATTGGGTTGTTTGTTCTCTTATTGTCTAATTTTTTGAGTTCTTTGTATACTCTGGATATTAGGGCTCTATCTGAAGTGTGAGGAGTAAAGATTTGTTCCCAGGGTGTAGGCTCCCTATTTACCTCTCTTATTGTTTCTTTTGCTGAGAAAAAACTTTTTAGTTTGAGTAAGTCCCATTTGTTGATTCTAGTTATTAACTTTTGTGCTATGGGTGTCCTATTGAGGAATTTGGAGCCCGTCCCCACCGACTGTAGATCGTAGCCAACTTTTTCTTCTATCAGACGGCGCGTCTCTGATTTGATATCAAGCTCCTTGATCCATTTTGAATTCACTTTTGTGCATGGCGAGAGAAAGGGATTCAGTTTCATTTTGTTGCATATGGATTTCCAGTTTTCCCAGCACCATTTGTTGAAGATGCTATCCTTCCTCCATTGCATGCTTTTAGCCCCTTTATCAAATATAAGATAGTTGTAGTTTTGTGGATTGGTTTCTGTGTCCTCTATTCTGTACCATTGGTCCACCCGCCTGTTTTGGTACCAGTACCATGCTGTTTTTGTTACTATTGCTCTGTAGTATAGTTTGAAGTCTGGTATCGCTATACCGCCTGATTCACACTTCTTGCTTAGCATTGTTTTTGCTATTCTGGGTCTTTTATTTTTCCATATGAATTTCATGATTGCTTTCTCTATTTCTACAAGAAATGCTGTTGGGATTTTGATTGGCATTGCATTAAACCTATAGAGAACTTTTGGTAATATCGCCATTTTGATGATGTTAGTTCTGCCTATCCATGAACAGGGTATATTTTTCCATCTTCTAAGATCTTCTTCTATTTCTCTCTTTAGGGTTCTGTAGTTTTCATTGTATAAGTCTTTCACCTCTTTTGTTAGGTTGATTCCCAAGTATTTCATTTTTTTTTGAAGATATTTTGAATGGAGTGGTTGTCCTCATTTCCATTTCAGAGGATTTGTCGCTGATATACAGGAATGCCTTTGATTTATGCGTGTTGATTTTAAATCCTGCCACTTTGCTGAATTCATTTATTAGCTCTAATAGTTTCTTTGTAGAGCCTTTTGGGTCTGCTAGGTATAGAATCATATCATCTGCAAATAGTGATAATTTAAGTTCTTCTTTTCCTATTTTTATGCCTTTAATTTCTTTCGTCTGTCTAATTGCTCTGGCCAGTGTTTCGAGAACTATGTTGAAGAGAAGTGGAGATAGAGGGCATCCCTGTCTTGTTCCAGATTTTAGAGGGAATGCCTTCAGTTTTTCTCCATTCAGAATGATGCTAGCCTGAGGCTTAGCATAGATTGCTTTTACAATATTGAGGTATGTTCCTGTTATCCCTAGTTTTTCTAGAGTTTTGAACATAAAGGGATGCTGTACTTTGTCGAATGCTTTTTCCGCATCTATCGAGATGATCATATGGTTCTTATTTTTAAGTCTATTGATGTGGTGAATAACATTTATTGATTTCCGTATATTGAACCAGCCTTGCATCCCAGGGATGAATCCTACTTGATCATGGTGTACAATTTTTTTGATATGTTTTTGTATCCGATTCGCCAGAATTTTATTGAGGATTTTTGCATCTAGGTTCATTAGAGATATTGGTCTGTAGTTTTCTTTCTTTGAAGTGTCTTTGTCTGGTTTAGGTATCAGGGTGATGTTGGCCTCATAGAATGAATTTGGAAGTTCTCCCTCCTTTTCTATTTCCTGAAGTAGCTTGAAAAGTATTGGTATTAGTTCTTCTTTAAAGGTTTTGTAAAATTCTGCTGTATACCCATCCAGACCTGGGCTTTTCTTAGTTGGTAGTCTTTTGATGGTTTCTTCTATTTCCTCAATTGATATTGGTCTGTTTAGGTTTTCTATATCCTCCTGACTCAATCTGGGCAGATCATATGACTTAAGAAATTTATCTATGCCTTCACTATCTTCTAATTTATTGGAGTATAAGGATTCAAAATAGTTTTTGATTATCTTCTGTATTTCTGAAGTGTCTGTTGTGATATTGCCTTTTTCATCCCGTATGCTAGTAATTTGAGTTCTTTCTCTTCTTCTCTTCGCTAGCATCGCTAAGGGTCTGTCGATTTTGTTTATTTTTTCAAAGAACCAACTTTTAGTTTTGTC